GGCAGATGGATATGTAAATACACACACATACACATACATATCCTGCCTGATTTTTTAATCTATTTATCTCTACTCTATCTATCTATCTATCTATCTATCTATCTATCTATCTATCTATCTATCTATCTATCTATCTAATATTACATATCTTGCCTGATTTTAATCTGTCATTCTCTATCTATCTATCTATCTATCTATCTATCTATCTATCATTACCTATCCTGCCTGATTTATAATCTATCTATCTATCTATCTATCTATCTATCTATCTATCATTACATATCTTGCCTGATTTTAATCTGTCATTCTCTATCTATCTATCTATCTATCTATCTATCTATCTATCTATCTATCATTACCTATCCTGCCTGATTTATAATCTATCTATCTATCTATCTATCTATCTATCTATCTATCTATCTAATATTATATATCTTGCCTGATTTTTTAATCTATTTGTCTCTATCTATCTATCTATCTATCTATCTATCTATCTATCTATCTAATATTACATATCTTGCCTGATTTTAATCTGTCATTCTCTATCTATTTATCTATCATTACCTATCCTGCCTGATTTATAATCTATCTATCTATCTATTTATCTATCTATCTATCTATCTATCTATCTATCTATCTAATATTACATATCTTGCCTGATTTTAATCTGTCATTCTCTATCTATCTATCTATCTATCTATCTATCTATCTATCTATCTATCTAATATTACATATCTTACCTGATTTTAATCTGTCATTATCTATCTATCTATCTATCTATCTATCTGTCTGTCTGTCTGTCTGTCTGTCTGTCTGTCTATCTATCTATCTATCATATCCTGCCTGATTTTAATCTATTTGTCACTCTATCTATCTATCTATCTATCTATCTATCTATCTATCTATCATTACATATCTTGCCTGATTTTAATCTGTCATTCTCTATCTATCTATCTATCTATCTATCTATCTATCTATCTATCATTACCTATCCTGCCTGATTTATAATCTATCTATCTATCTATCTATCTATCTATCTATCTATCTATCTAATATTATATATCTTGCCTGATTTTTTAATCTATTTGTCTCTATCTATCTATCTATCTATCTATCTATCTAATATTACATATCTTGCCTGATTTTAATCTGTCATTCTCTATCTATTTATCTATATTACATATCCTGCCTGATTTTAATCTATTTGTCACTCTATCTATCTATCTATCTATCTATCTATCTATCTATCTATCTATCTATCTATCTAATATTACCTATCCTGCCTGATTTATAATCTATCCTTCCTATCTATCTATCTATCTATCTATCTATCTATCTATCTATCTATCTATCTAATCCATTTGTCTCTATCATCTAGCTATCGATCATATTACATATCCTGTCTAATTTTAAACTATATCTGTCTATTCATCCATCTCTGGATATATATAATACCCCTTTAGATGGCCTTTGGGAGTCCCCTTCCTACTTTCTAGGATTGATACAATTTTTTTGTCATGTCAGGAGTCGCTCCTGTTGTGAGAGAATTGGCCGTCTGCAAGGATGTTGCCCAGGGGACGCCCAGATGATTTGATGTTTTTATCATCCTTGTGGGAGGCTTCTCTCATGTCCCCGCATGAGGAGCTGGAGCTGATAGAGGGAGCTCATCCGCCTCTCCCCGGATTCGAACCTGCGACCTGTCGGTCTTCAGTCCTGCTGGCACCCACTGCGCCACCGGGGGCTCCATTGATACAAATACAGGGACACCACCGCAGGGCTGGCCTAAAGGTGAGGCGACACAATGCCCTGGGTTCATCTCTTCCTTTGAGAACATATTAAGTGCATAAACACACACAAACACACACAGTTTATGTCTTTTATGTATTCTCAAAGGAATATAGTAACATATTAAGGACATAAACACACACACATGTTTATGTACTTAATATATATTCCCAAAGGAATACATACATATTGTTTATGTGCTTAATATATGGTCAGAGAAACAGATGAACAAAAACCCAGGGCGTTGTGTTGTCTTTCCTTAAATAATGTCGTATAACATAATATTATATACACAATTAATATACCAATGTACATTCATCATTTATAGAAAAAGATACCATTTCAATCCCTTCTCCATTCGAGGAGAAGTGTCCAAGGTGCTGAATGCCTCCAAATAAGTTGCATATTTTATCCATAGAAGAAGGGGAAAACAGAGAGATTTGGGGCGGGGGGTGGCATTGTGCCCTAATCTTAATGCAAAATTAGATATTCCACCTGAATATATATTCCCTTCATCCCACTCAAAGGAAGGATATGGAGAAGTGGAAGAAAACTTATGCAACGCCACCTTTTCTGCCTGACTCAATGGCTGCCGTTATGCAATGCTCTGTCCGGGTACCAGACTCTGCCCTGCGGTTGCTATGGTTACCAGCATCTCTCTCTCTCTCTCTCTCTCTCCATCTCCTTTTCATCAACCCCCCCCCCACATCCTTAGGATTTAATTGAATTGCCCAATTTACCTGTCCGAACGCATCTCCCCCTATGAACCATCATAGAGATTAAGATCCTCCAAGGAGGCCCTGCTCTCTGTCCTGCCATTGTCACAGGCACGATTGATGGGAATGAGAGAGAGGGCCTTCTCGGTGATTGCCCCCTGACTATGGAACTCCCTTCCTGGTGAGATCAGATTGGCCCCCTCCCTAGAATCATAGAATCATAGAATCAAAGAGTTGGAAGAGACCTCATGGGCCATCCAGCCCCCCCCAACCAATCACTGATATATATTTTCTGTTTGTCGTGGGAGTTCTGTGTTCCATATTTGGTTCAATTCCATCATTGGTGGAGTTCAGAATGCTCTTTGATTGTAGGTGAACTATACATCCCAGTAACTACACTTGCCGCACTTGCTCCCTTGCCTGGCCCGCTTTGGGTCCAGAGGCGTGTCTGAAGACCCCCCGGCGCTCCACCCGCCTCCTCTCCTCTCCCCAAACTAAAGTGGGCCAAGGGGTGGAGCCGCCGCGCCTGGCCCACTTCGGGTCCAGAGGCATGTCTGAAGACCCCAGTGTGCGGACCAAAAGTCACCTCTTCTCCTGACTTTCTCCTCAGCCATTGGGACCGAGAGAGAGAGAGAGGTGGAGATGCCCACCTTTCCTGAAGGTAGGCGCAAAAACAAAGGAGGGAGCGGAGGTGGGAGATACCTCCAGCTGGAGGGGCTCTCTCTCTCTCTCTCTCTCTTGGTCCCAATGGCTGAAGAGAAAGTCAGGAGAAGAGGCGACTTTTGGTGCGCACGCTGGGGTCTTCAGACACGCCTCTGGTCCCGAAGTGGGCCAGGCGCGGTGGCTCCACCCCTTGGCCCACTTTAGTTTGGGGAGAGGAGAGGAGGCGGGTGGAGCGCCGGGGGATCGGGAAAGGGAGCCGGTCATGGGGAAGGGATCGAACACGGAGAACGATTGAGCGCCGGCTCTGCTCGCGCACCCGGTGGCCGGGTGGAGCAGGAACGAGAGGGGCTAGGCGAGGCTCAAGGGCCCGGCCCCTTTGAGAAGAGGATCGCCCGGCAGCGAGGCAAGAAAGCCGAGGCTCCCCCCGGACTGCTAGGGCTGTTGTGAGCTGAGGGGGCGCTCCTCAAGTGGCGGTCGAGGGGCATTTACAGAGGTGCCTCTGCAGCCCCTGGCAAAAAAAAGTGTTCTGCGACCGCTTACTTCGCGTAATGGACGAGCCGCCCCTGCCCTTAGGCATTAAAGCTGTAGTTCTCAACCTGTGAGTCCCCAGATGTTTCAGCCTTCAAGTCCCAGAAATCCTAGCAGCTGGTAAACTGGCTGGGATTTCTGGGAGTTGTAGGCCAAAACACCTGGGGACCTACAGGTTGAGAACCACTGCATTAAAGTGCCGAAGTTACAGGAAAGAGGGCCAAACTAAAGTGCAGGAGCTTAGACAAGGTCGGACCAATTCTCTGGTGAAACTGCCTAGTGAAACGCACAGCGGAACATCCAAGTTTTTAAGTCCTTGCGGAAAATAGACAGAGTGGGTGCCTGTCTGATCTCCCTAGGAAGAGCTCCAGAGCTGGGGGGGGGGGCACCACTGAGAAGGCCCTCTCCCTTGTCCCCACCAACCGCGCTTGAGACGGTGGTGGAAGCGAGAGAAGAGCCTCCCTGGATGATCTTAGAGTACGTGCTGGTTCGTAGGGGAAGATGTGATCGTAAAAATAGGTAGGTCCAGAACTGTATAGGGCTTTGTAGGTGATAACCTGCACCTTATTATTATATTATATATTATTATTATAAATTGATAGGAGGATGGATAGATAGATAGATAGATACAAGCATGTAGCCGGGGGGAGGGACTTGAGGGGCTTCACCCCCCCCCCCCAAATTCTAAGGGTGGTCCGCAAGAAGGCCTTACTGGTACATTATTTAAACTGTTATGTTTATTCCTATCATGATCTGATCACCATGCTCAAAATAGCCCATACGCATGGGGGTATTGGGATAACGGAGCCCCCGGTGGCGCAGTGGGTTAAACCCCTGTGCAGGCAGGACTGAAGACCGACAGGTCGCAGGTTCGAATCTGGGAAGAGGTGGATGAGCTCCCTCTATCAGCTCCAGCTCCTCATGCGGGGACATGAGAGAAGCCTCCCACAAGGATGATAAAAACATCAAATATTCCAGGCGTCCCCTGGGCAACATAATTGCAGATGGCCAATTCTCTCACACAAGAAGCAACTTGCAGTTTCTGAAGTAGCTCCTGACATGACAAAAAAAATTGGGATAACGATACAAAAGGTTGGCTAGGGTAGATCCTCAGCACCT